TTTCGGAACACCCATGGTTTTCAAATCCCATCAATTGTAAATATGGTTCCAGTAGTTCGTATGGGAAGGATGCGGGGGGCTAAGGATGTGTAACAAAAGGCCATAATAAAAGGACTCCAGCTGGGTATCTAGCTTGGCTTAAGTGTCTATAAAGTTACAATTTTCTAATGTCTGTAACAAAAACTATCTTCAAATAGTTTTTGACCACAGTTCAGAATGTTTCTTATGCATGTTTCTAATTACCTAAAATGACTCCTCTGCTGAGAACAATAATGTTGTGATCCATAAATTCAGCCCTAAGCAAAATACAGATGTGCCTCTGTAACAACCACACCACACTTCTGCTTGTGTGTGCTTTTATGCCAAGCAGGCTCTAAATTTAGCTTAACAGAAAGAGGAATTGAGACTGCAGTGTTTAAACACAGTTACTACCTTATTGATTTTCATCTTTCACCAAATCGTATTTAAAGACAGATAGTGAGAATGTTCCAGATTACTAAAAGGTGATGAAGCTGTTTAATAGTGGATACGTTACATTAGGTTTTGGAGCTAGTTAAACCCTAAACATCAGTCCTAAAGGTGTACCTTGAATGCAGTCAGCAATGATGAGATGTGGATACCAAGGTGTCTTGCACTACAACTCTTTTAGATACTACACCTAACAGTTTTCCTGGAGTTGAAGTGAAATTCTTACTCCTGTTCCCTGATGTCTTTGATGTCCTGAAAAAGCAGTATTGGCTGAATTTTCCGTTGTTATTCCTTGGTTTTACTGGAATTACAGTTAAATTCTCACTCCTATTTTCAGATGTCTTTAATGGTGCAAAATGAATTTTCATCTGAACATCTCAATTAATAGGTGGTGGTGTAGTTGTCCTGTCATTTCTGTTTCATTTACTGGAGAGCTGCTTCAGTAGTTCAGCCAAAAACCCTGTTTAATACCAGGCCAAATGGAATACATACAGGCAGTGCAGTTCAGAACGCATGCTTCTGTGCAGTTTTGATGAGTAACAAAGATGATGGTGCTAAGGATGTGCTTCTGTCCTGCGGATAAATAGTTCAACTGGATTTGTAACATCCAATTTGTCCCTTTGAGACAGGTTATAATAAGACTGGGAACAAACGAGCTGGTTTTGCTTTCCATTGCCACCAATCTAGAAATGATAGGGACTGGTCAAAGGCTGTTTCACAGCTGTAGCTGGACACCAGTGCTAAGGTGTTCACATTTGCTGTGCCTATCCATCCTTTTCCTGCATTACTGTCCCAGTCTATAGAAGTCCTCCAGACTTTTATTTCTGGCTGAAATAGCTGAATGCACAGATACACGTGAGCAGTGCTCCATAGATGTGACTGGTTTATGTAGCTGGTGCTCACAATGGGTACTTCCTATTTACTTCCTTTTCTGAAGGAATATATATATATTTACTACCTTTTCTGAAGGAATATAAATACTTAATGTTCATTAATACTTGTGGGTTTTCTTACACCACCTAAAGCAGTGCAGGAGGGTTTTGGTCTGTAGAAGTCAGTGGATGTATTTCAAATGACAACCTGTGCAGTCTCTGTACCTCTAGAGCTACAGATATATCTGTCCTATGTATACCTCTAATTACTTTAGCTGCAAAGCTGCTGTATAACACATCAAGTCTTCAGAAGGGAGGTGCTGCCAATTTTGCATAAAAGGAGAAGAAATAGGATAAAGCATCTGTCCATGAGGATTAAGAGCTTGTGGCTACTCTCGGCATCAGGACTCGTTTGAATAATGGGATTGGAGCCAGATTGTTTGCATATCAGACATAATAAAGCAACACAGGGTCTGCCAGCACTTTATGTACTCGACCATGCTCCTAGAGATTTCTGCTCCTACATAGTGTAGTGTAGTACTAGCAAAGTGTAAGTATTTACTTTCTGCTTTGACTGCTTTTCTTTCTGCAGATTAGAAAGTGGTATTTTAAGACAGGTAACTTCAGTGTTGTTTCTTTCCCCAGAAAGACTCTGGAACCCAGAATTTACTGCAGCCAAGGATCTGTTTCTACATTGCTCGCTGTTCTCAATGTCTTCTGGTAGCAGACGTTGTCATGAGATAGGCCAACAGATGGATGTGACAATACCTGTAGCGTATAAAATGTGTTTATTTTGTTCCAGAAGCCTTTATAGCATACGCCACGTGGTACTTTGATATTGACTCAGAGTTTGCATAAACATAATGCCTTTTGTCTCAGAGTAGATGAAATCCATTCAGTTTGCCTTCCTGTAGGGACAGGGTCTCATGGATTCGCAGCCGGCGTAAGGATAACCGCACTATTTGATGTACCATAGCCCAAAAGAGCTGGAGGGAAACGTAAGTGGAAGTCATAGGCTCAAAACCACAAATGAAAGCCCATCCTACTCAGTGTAGCCACTGGAGGAGAGTAGCCTGTGTTCATCTGATGCTCACTGACTGAGTTGTTTGGTTAAAGCCAGGGTTCTTACTGGATTGAGCAATGCTGTGTTCAGCTCATTAGTGTGCAACCACAGCCTCTAGTACTTAACCTTCAGATAATACGCTCAGGTCAAGCAGGCGTGAACCAGTTATGATATAGACATAATACAGCAATTCTGGATGTTATTTACTCTCTTTTCCTGTAAATGCAACACCTGCTACTACATATTTGTAACAGAAGGACTTTTATCATATGTATTGCATGGATGTATGACATTCTATTCCATGATTCTGTGTTTAACCTTCTGCATGTGAAAACCCATTCATCTCAGTTGTTGAGCCATGTCACACTGAGTAACACATGATGCTGCTCCAGAGCTTTCCAAGACAACCAAACTTAGATTGCTCTAATACTGGTGTAAGACAGCACTAGAACCTACACAAATGAGCTATCATATGTGCTGCCTCTAAAGAAGATGACTGCAATAAATCTTAAATGCAGAAATGCACCAAATGAAATTGTTAACACTGACTTATTCAGTGACAAATAGGAGATGTTGATTCGGAAATCCTGAAGAGCACAAATGCCACACATGCAGCTCGGAGGACCCCCAAACCATGATTTGTCAGAAAATCTGAGACATAGAAATGGACCTGTAGGGACAGGCCAAGGGGAATGGCTTGAAACTGCCCGAGGGGAGACTGAGCTGAGCTCTTAGGCAGAAGCTCTTCCCTGTGAGGGTGCTGAGGCGCTGGCACAGGGTGCCCAGAGAAGCTGTGGCTGCCCCATCCCTGGCAGTGTTCAAGGCCAGGTTGGACACAGGGGCTTGGAGCAAGCTGCTCCAGTGGAAGGGGTCCCTGCCCGTGGCAGGGGTTGGGACTCTGTTGCCGACAACGATGTTGAACAGGATCGGTCCCAGCAACAACCGTGAGGAACACTGCTCATCGCTGATCTCCACTTGGACATAGAGCTATGGACAGTGACCCTTTGAGAGCAACCATCTGGCCAGTTCCTTATCCAGCGAGCGGTCCATCCATCAAATCCATGTATCTCCAATACAGAGACAAGGATGTGCTGTGGGACAGTGTCAGATGCCTTTGGTTGTGTGGGTGGAAGCAGCAGGAGCACAGAGCCAAGGGCAGATCATCAGCACGATCGTGACTCAACGTACATCAAGCGCGAAGCCATATCCCAAGTACCTTTTCAACAGATCATTCCAAAGATACCTCAGGTGTGTCTGTGTGTGTTCAGTCCCTGCAGCAGTGTGGATTGTCCAACAGGAACAGGAGTGAGCAGATCTGCAGCAGCAAGATGCAGGACAGGACTCAATGAGACGGGAACCGGGAAGTCTCGAGTAGGAGTCAGGGAGCAGAGGCTTTGGCAGGAGTTCTGACCGCCCTGTGCCGGGAAGGGAATGTGACAGGAACAAAGATTTCACCAGCAGCCGAAAGCACTGGAACCATTGGATGTGTGCCTGGAGAGGGGAGGAAAGGAAACATGAGTGGGCAAACCGAAAGCAAGAGTGAGGAGGGTGATTTGGGTCAGCTTTAGCGGTGTCCTCACTCGCAGGCAGAGCCCCTGGAGCTTGAAGGCACAATTCTCCATTCAGTTATAATGGACCAGGAAACTGTTAAATCCTCTTCTTCTTCCAGGGGTACAGAAACAAACGGAAGAAACCAGAAAGACCCAAGTTCACCGCGGGATTCCCTGCCCTGTCACGGAGATCGCTTCCCTTTTCTGAAACGGGAGTCCCAGCAGCAGATGAGCCCTTGCAAAATTCCTTGAAGAGCTGAGGAAACGCTGAACCATACTGCTGGCTTCGGAATAACCAACGTGCATCACGAATGTGGGGTTGCCAGAGCTTCCTCCCTGCTGGGTCTGTGCTGGTGTTAACACCTGTATTTGGGTGGTGAATGGGAGCTGCCGCCGCAACCCAGCTTGGAAGGGAAGCCTCATCCCTGATGTTTTCTGCTCCTGGAACGCATCAAAATGTCCCTTGTGTGATGTTCCCACTCCTGTGGGAATCTGGGAAAACCACCGGCTGCATCGCGCCCACGAAAGTAAGTGGGAATTGCAAGTGATGGTGTCGGGCCTGGCCAGGGCTGGAGCAGAGGGCGCTTGGGGGAGTTTGTGGAAAGGAGAACCTGTGGCAGGGCATCAGAAAAAGATCCAAATGCGGGGTTAAGGCAGATGAGAGCTGTGGAAGGGATTTGCAGGAGGGACTTGGGAAAGAGGAGTTCTGCCAGGGGGGTGACCTTCAGCATCAAGGTGGGGATGTGCTCACGGATGGAGGTGCTTTCCTGGGGAGCAGACCGGAATGTCCCGGGCACGTTTCAACAGCAGGAGCTGAGCGTGGGGCTGGTGGTGAAAGGAAAACGACTTCGCCCCCCAAAGCGAGATGTGGCCGCGTTTACACGTGCGGTGACAACGAGGGGTGACCCCCGCGGGAGGGGAGCGGAGCGGAGCGGACCTGGATGGGGCGGCGAGAACGGGGCAGGGCGGACCGGGGGGAGAGGGACCGGGAGGGGACCGGCGCTGGGGGCATCGGAGGGAGCTTGGACCGGGCCGGGTCGGACGGGGACCGGACCAGGGGGCGGGCCGCTGCCGTCGGTCCCGCCCGGCTCGCGTTACCTGGGCGGGCCGCAGCCCGGCTCTTCCCGTCTGGCCCGGCCCCCGCGACGGGAAGTGGGAGCGAGGGACCGTGCTCGGCCGGCGGAGCCATGGACCTCGCCGCATCCCCGGTGCGGGAACGGCTCCTGCTCGCCGTCTGCTGGGTGCTCGCCGGGGGCACGGCCGCAGGTAGGGGCGGCAAGGGGCGGCAAGGGGCGGCAAGGGGCGGCAAGGGGCGGCGGGAGCACCGGGAGCACCGGGCTCCGGGCGGGTTCGGGAGGTGCCGGCGTGGGCTCGGTGCGGGAGCGATCGGGAGCCGGTGCTGGGTGCGGGTGCGCCTCTGGGACGGTGCCGGGTGCGGGGACCCGGTGGGACGGTGCCGCTTTTGTCTCAGTGAAGCGGCGTTTGGCAGCGGAGCGCTGCTGGGCTCCGTGTCCGTTCCCGGGGCTCTGAGTCCTGCGGGGCTCGGCGGTGACACCGGATTAAACAGCATCCCCCTGAGCACACGGACCCGCTGCCCTCGCCCTGGGGCTGCCGGTGCCTTTGTCCTTGCTTTTAGGTTCCCCGCTTCTGGAAGCACCAAAGCAGGGAAGGGGGGGTGCCTGTGAGGGATGCATAGGACCCGAGCGCGGAGCTTTCCCGGCTCTGTCTTGGCAGAGGCTGCGAGCAAACCCTGAGCATTGTTATTGTTCAACAGGCTGTAACGCGGTTTAGAGCCATGAAATCAGCCTTAAGAAAACACAGGAGGACAAAATACGAAGTCTTTTATGACTCTTTACAACGCTTTTAAGATACCTGATGCAAAGTGTTTGTTGAGGTTTCCACATGGCGGCTTTTAGAACCAAAACGTTTTGCCTTCGGGGTTGCTTCAGCCGTTCTCTGTTTTCTTAGAAGCATCACCAGGGCTTTGGGGGTTAAGGCTAAAATAAGGCCTTGACCGTGGTTTGCCCTCGGACTTTGGGTTGTTCTGAACTGCCCTAGGGTGAAGCTTTAATAACAAAAGTATTCGACCCTCTGTGTATTTTATACAAGTACGAGCCTGGCCGAGCCTCTGAGTAAAAGCAAATCCTCAGCTGAGTCGAACATTAGAGCTTCTTAAGGGAGGGATCAATCTGAAACCCATTTGATTTGAAGTTTTCTGTTAATACAATGTACTGATTTATTTCTAAACCTTGGATATTCTCACTTTTTACTTTGTGTAGTTAGAAATGTGCAGGCTTTGGCACAGTTACTTCTAATCAACCCTAATAAAAGGGACCTTTAGAACATCGATCCGGGATGACTGTGAATGTTTTTAATGGCTTGTGACTTTTGTATGTAATAAAAAGCTTGATCATGCCAAGGCAGAACACTTGGAGCCGTGTGGTGATGTTAGATAAGTATTTATCATGCTTTTATGTGATGTAAAGGGCTCAGTATTTGCGCATGTTGCTGTTCCTAAAACCCGTCCTAGGTCTTTGTTAGTGGAAGAGGCAACAGGCAGAGATGTTCTGGTGTGGTTCAACAGAAATTCCTCTTCTCTCTCCCTGGGCTCTAAAACTGAACAAAGAAAGAAGCCCCAAAGGTTTGAGTGTTCAAATGAGCCAAACACATTGAGACAGCCCAGTGAATCCTCGCACTTGTTCTCATTCTCTATGTGAGCACGCGTTGTCCATGTGGACACCCAGATGGTAATAGTCGTAGAATCATAGGATAGTTAGGGTTGGAAAGGACCTTAAGATCATCCAGTTCCAACCCCCTGCCATGGTAATAGTGCCTCATCTCTACCATTGCCTGGCCTTTATGCAAAGGGAAAGCTCCAGGAGTTTGAATTTCCTTCAAGCTCTGGCTCTTGGGAAATGGAAGGTGATGGTGTGGTGGATGCTTTGAGCAGAATTCTTCCTCAACTAATCTGCTTTGCCTTTCCACCTGCCTTCTTCCTGGTGCTGGAAGAAGGAAACGGGCCTGCACCATGGCCTGGGTGGGAAAACTCATCTTGATGGGGTTATTCTGCCCTTTCCCTGTGCGCTGCCTCAAATGTTGGGGCAGGCTGAGCCTGGTTTCCTGGGAAAAACAGGCTGCCTGGGATGAGCAAGACCTGCAGCACCAGTTGGGATCAGACTGAAGTGGTTGTGAAACTACTGTGTGAGAAGGGCACTTTCCACAGACAAATAGATGGTGGTCCCTCGCTGATGGTACCTGTAGACACCCCTGAGAAGCTGTCTCATTTGCCTCTTACTGAATATCTTCTACTAGGACACAGAGTAGCCTTTTAAAACCCCAAATTTCACTTTCATTTTCTTAGGGAATTACCACTTGGTAATTTTCCTCTCGTGTCTGACACATCCTTTGCTTTTTCCTGGCACTGTTCTATTTTCTGCCCTATTTCCCTTGGTTTTCCAATAGCACCTTCAAGCCATGTGACTGGGTATTGAGTAGGCTGTGACTGAGTAACAAAGGGTCAATACACGAGTGGTTTTATGCCAGCAGCATTCTGAGTCATGGCTTCTATCTTCCTTTGGAGGAGGTGAAAAGCATCTGGCTGAGGTGTGCCAGCGATAAATGTCTCTTTGTCCCACTCTGGTTTTGCTGCTGGGCCAGAGCAGAGCAGTCAAAGTTTAATGGGCGAGTAATTGAAAAACCATTGTGGTTTCTTTGATGTTATTTGGCGTTGTCGGTTTTGCTTGGCTTGAGCTGAGTCGAGGCTCTGCTGCACAGCTGCTGCTTGGATGATGGAGCTGCTCTTTAAAGCTTTCTCTCTAAAACCACATTGAGGGATAATTCTGGGGGTAGAAGAAAGTGTTGCTCCATAAAACATGTGTACTATTTTGAGTGAAGATTCAGCAATGCATGATGCAAAGCCACAGCAGAAGAGACATGGAAAATGACTCCTTTTCCTCCATAAGCATGTTCCAGTACTGCAGCCACCGCACTGCTGCATGCTGTGGTTCCTTAACAATGACTGTTCAGTGTTGTTCGATGTGTTTCTTATGATTATTTAAACAACCGATGGAGTGAGATAACAGGAATAGTAGGAACAATTCACCAGGTTATCTGGTAGCAAACACGAGCCAAGAAGTCATCTGTATTCTTTTCTGTTGGAGAGTTAAAAGTCTGTCAGTATTGCTAATGGTACAATGTGGACCTGCAGGATTGTTACACTGGTAACGTCTTTCTTTTAGGAGCGAATGTTCTCCCACCTCCATCCAACCTGGAATACTCATTTATCCAAATTTGCACCCTGAACTGGACGTGGAACCCCCCAGATAACGTCAGCAGTGGCTGTGACCTGGAGTATGCCAGCGAAGTCGTGATTGATGAGGTCCCTCAGAACAACAGAGTAAGTGCATCACCTCTTTAACCTCTGCTGTGCCCTGGGAGATGTCTTACTGTGACAGAACCGTGTGTGCAAGCACATATCCACAATTAAATATATAGAAACACAGTTTTAATACAGCCTTTCGTTCTTGTGATGGGATCAAAACCTCAGCAATGAGTCATACCAGCATGTGGGATCTTCAGATGACAGAATTCTGCCTGTCGCTCTCTGATAACCGAGCTGCTCCCCATAACGCAGAAGCACCATGATAACAACATGAAAGGACTTGTTTCAGGCTTTGCTTTATGCAGCTTTCTAGAGCAAATAAAATACATGCAGAGCAGTCTGCGACCTGCAGCTTAAATGGGAATCTGTAAAGGCTGATCTCCTTCATCTGCCAGTGTTCAAGGGGACACAGGGGCTTGGAGCAAGCTGCTCTAGTGGAAGGTGTCCCTGCCCGTGGCAGGGGTTGGAGCTGGAGGAGCTTTGAGGTCCCTTGCAACACAAACCATTCTATGACTCGATGGTAATGAAGAGGTGTGCACATTAGCCTTGGTGCTGCTGTGATTTGACAGCATAGTGTCTTTTGAAGGTAATGCCAAGTGTTAATGTTCCCACATTTGCCCTGTCCTCATTATTCATGGGGATCCTGTTGTGAAGATAATATGGCACATGTTTTGGGGTATGGTTAAAAACAACAAAATGCCTCTTGGAACAGTCCTTTGTTGTTGAGCTCTATTATGGTTTCATGGTGATTGCTGAATTCTGACTGCTCCAGGATATCCTGCACTTGAAGGCTGTTGTTCTGCCAACAGCTGAGCTGATTTAATGGCTTAACACTGCTAAGTGTTACGCTTTGTCATTTTTAACAGCCTCTTCTCTAATAATCTTTGCTGGACCTTTAGATGAGCCAATCAGGCTTGCTAACTTGGCAGAAACCTATTTACCTCTTCTGATGGGTCCATTAACTAATGAACAACTTGAAAGCCCCCTTGCTTAACGAATGTGTCCATGGAAGGTTCCAACAGATGGGAAGGTCAGGAATTTTGCATTATCCAGGAAGACTTCCTCTAGGATCAGCTGCAGTAGAAGTGCTTTTCCTTTGAGTTCTGAGTGTGCCTGATGAGCTAAAAAGAGAATCGAAGTGATGCTGGGTTTTCCCATGTTGTCAGACTTCATTGGCTTGGGGCTGCAGTCTTGCTGAGGGGCTGCCATGTGTCCTTACACTGACAGTGATTCCCATGTGTTCTGGTCTTCTTTCCCCCCAATCTGAACACAGAAATGGAGCAAGAGCCGCTTCCGTGTGACGGATACGTTCTTGAATGAGGAAATGCGTTTCAAAGTGAGAAGTGAATGCAGGAACGCCAACACCAGCGAGCCCAGCCGGTGGCTGGAGGCCTCTCTCCTGCCAGAAGGTAACACAATGCCATGGCCAGACCCAAGGCAGAGCTGCCCCCATTGGTCTGGGGGGACGTGGCCCCGTTTTCTCTGCTGTTTTAACCAAACACCATAGAAATATCTCATAGAGTAATAGGGAGATGGCAGACACAAGGGTCAGTTCAATTGATAGAGCTTAAACACAGCTATTATACTGCATTTAAACACAACTGGAGCCTTCTGATACTTAAAACCTTATGGGCAAGCTTGTAAAATGTAAATGATCTTCCAAGGCAGCAGTGTGATTCCTGTCATTCCTCTTGGCCCTGCCATGCTGTGAGATAACTTAGGCTATGTTAAGCTGCTGACTTCATGACTAACATCTAGGACAGTTTATTTTATATGGTTTTTCTGTACAAACAAAAGTCCCTGAAATAGCCCAGTATTTGCAAATAGGGATGAATCCAGCAAACTGAAAACATGTTGAATAAATGAGTTAGTTAAATGATTGTTGTAAAGTTCTCTCTATTTCAAAAGACATGGCTGTGGTCTACAGAGCTGTGCACAGCAAAGTGAACAAAGTGGGTTTTGTTTCTTGACATCCAGAAATAAGGGTTCCATAGCAAGTTTGTTAGGAAGCAGACTTTAAGGAATAATGCGTTCTGCTGGATGCTGGGAGTTAGGAGGTACAGCAAGGAAATAGACCCTCTTGCCTTAAGCAGTAAAAGTCTGTCTCACCCAGGAGTGTGACCTGATGTGGATGGAAACCACACATGGCCAGGAGAGTCTGAGGCTTCACCACCTTGTCCGCACTGTATCAAAAGGGTGCTCTAGAAGATGAGGGGAGCAGATTGTTAGGACAGCAAGTACTGGCCAGGTTGGGGCTTTTACAAGTGTGCTTGATGTAGAAGGTGGTTTGGGGTTTGCTATGGATAAGTCTGAACTGTTGATAGAATTAACATGCATTTTATTTTTAGTTCATGGAGATGTTGCTACTCATTACAAGGGGAAAATGTCTAATATGCTATAATACAATAATAAAGTATACATAACTTGTACCATAGAAGATTGAGTGTGTAAGACTGGGTTCCACGACTGCTCTGCCCGGGAGATACATTGATGTTTCTGTTCACAATTGCCATGTGCTCATTTGTACTTATGTTCTGTAATTTGAGATTTCAATGTGAAGAAGTTAAATGTCCAGAGATACAGGGATCTCAGTTAAAAATTCAGCTTGCCCCATGTTATGTTTGTCCATATTTGAGATCTGCAGGCATTTCTGTATTCAAAACACTGAGAAATTAATATTGTACCTGTAGAAGATAACTAGAATTAAATGCTGACTATTTCTAATGTTATAGCTTTCTTATAATTGGCTTGGCTTTCTTATAGTTATCCGTTTAAGAAAGGGATATATCCCTATATACTTGGCTTTCTTATAGTTATCCCTATAATTGCCAGTTACTTTAAATCCTCTTTAAAGTATCTGTAGTTTAATAGAACAAAATATCTTCCTGACTCAACACCTTAGCATCAGGTAACTCCAAGTAGTAATTCAGCCACGGTGGTAGCTGAGATTCACTGGTATGGCTTACTTGCATCTAGAAGTTACTCTGCTGAGATTTTGGCTAGTGCAAGTGGTAAACAACTGGAATCCATCTTAAGGGACCTTTCCAACTTGCCTTGCAGGTATTCCGGGTACTGCTGCTGTCGACTTGAGCTGTGTTTGGCACAACTTGGAGTACATGGGTTGTACGTGGCGCCCTGGGAGAAATGCAAGTGATGAGACCAATTATAGGTTGTTCTACTGGTTCGTATGAGCTTTTAATTCCTGACTCTGAAGTGTTTTAATGCTAATCTTTAGTTTTACATTACATACTTGACTTGTCTGCTTCCCCTTGCTTTGAAAGGGCCCTGTGCATTGTGTACAAGGTGGTGCTCAGTCCTGTCCCACAGCAAACTTCCCTGCTGAGGGGTCCAGGGGTGCTGTTGCTGAGTCTTTTGGGGAAGTTGATCTAACTTTTAAGTGAAGCACTGGCTGCTTCTGTAGCCTGTTTCGAACAACTGCTGTTGCTTTCTATTTGTTTTCCAATAGTGGACTCACAGAGGGAAGAATTAAGAATTGAGGTAGACCAATGTGGTAATTGCTTTCTTTGCAGCCCAGCAGACATGGGCTAAGTTGGAATCACTCACTAATGTTTGTGCAAGCTCTTAAATCATTGGAAAATGGTTTGAAAGCATTAGGAACACTTAGAAGTAGTCCTGTTTGTGTCTTTGATGTCATAAATAACCGATTAACCTTGAATGTTATGGAGAACATCTTTTTGTCATCATCCTCGCTTGCCAACAGACTGCCATAAGTAGGCTCTTGTTCCAGAGGAACAGAGTTGGGCTGTGAGCAAGCACTTGGCATCAAGATCTGTGCTTGCCCATCTATGCATACTTCTGCAGATTGATGGGGCTTGTGAAATGCCAGATTACATTAGCTGCTGTAGAAATATTGAGGTTTTCTTTCTGAAAGCCTCTTGTTAAAGCTTTAAACCATCTTTCTGTCTTTAACTATACTCCTTCCTCTTTCTTTCCAGTGGCAGTCTCACTGGCTGGTTGTTCAGTTTAATACGCTTGGACAGCAAACAGCAGAAAACTCACTGCTCTAGTTAAATGCAGGGAGGACTGTTCTGTCTCTCAGCTGCTACTCAGACAGATTGTTTCTTTATTACAAGAACAGTACCAGTGAGGCACTGGAAGGTCTGAATTTCTGGGTATATGGATACTTACTGGAATAATGCTTTGGATTAGAGCTATATATTTTCAACTTACCCCTTCATTTTAATGAAAGATATAGCTGCAGGGACAGCAAAGTGTTTTAACTCATGCTGTGTAGTAAGAAAAATACCTTTTAGATTTTAGAACTGAAAACTAAGGAAACAGTTGATTTTTGGACTGGAAAATGCATTTTCCATAGTGCAGGTGCGGTGGGTTTGGGGACCTTTTGCTTTTCCTCTAAAGCCCTATCTTTTCATCCAAACTGAATGTGAATGTAATGTTAGCTTGGAACAAACCAATTCAGTCAGTGCCCAGTAATACTTGCTGAAACAGAGGTTTACAAGAGCAGGTTGATGCATGGCAGGGTTCTCTCTGCTCTCAGTGCTCCATCTTCATCAGCCCCAGCGCAGGGAGGTGACAAGGGTGGGTAAAAGGGGGTTTGTGCTGGAAATGAACATGCAGTTTTGTCTTCCCCAGCCCCTATATACTGAGATGTGAAACAGGGGAACATCCCTCCTGTTGTGCTCTTACATGAAGCCATGATTTACTCTCACTCTTAAATAAATAACTAACTAGAAAAAGTCCATTTTCTCATTTCTCATGAGGAACAGCTACTGGCATGTTTTCATTGGGACTTAGGGAGCAAAGAGGAGCAAGGGGAGAAGGTTCTCCAGCCTCTGTGATTGAAAGTGAATACTGATGTTCTGAAAAGCAAGCACAGGCAGTGGCGGAACTCAAGAGCTGTGGTACCTGAGGCACAGCTAAAGGAGATGGAACAGCTCCGTCTGGCACAGAAGTGAAATCCTGTTGATAGGAAGCGATCCAAATATGTGTCCTTGATAAATCATTTCTTTCCTAGGAATAGAATCCCAATTGCCTTTCATGTTTTGATACAAAGCAGCCCCGCCCCTCACTGCTACTTGTCAGTGCTCACAAAACCACCATGCTTTCTAAGGCTTGAGATAAATCAGAAGCTTCTCACTATGCCTGGCTTTACTTCTGTACATGCTATGGCACAGCTTTAGAGTTCGTAACACAGGTTTCCAAACAAGCTGGCCCCTTGCTGTCCTGTTCTAATGAAGTTTAAAAGCAATGGTTTCATTCCTCTAGGTTTGATGGTATGAAGAAGCATGAGAAGTGCAGCAACTCTTCTGTGCACCAAGGAATCTTTGGATGCATTTTCAATCTTAGCTTCCCAAAAGTGACCAATACTTACCCATCTATAAGGATTCTGATTAAAGATGAGTCTGAAGAAATTAGGCCTCTGTGTGCAAGTAAAAACCCCACCACCCTGGGTGAGTTTAACACCACATTTTATAATATGGTGTTATAAGAAATAATTGAAACAGAAGTTTGTTGGTACATTGTTGTGTTTGAGAAGCTTGCACCGCATCAGACGTGGATGAGACAACACAATTAGATGCTTCCTTCGTCTGCCAAGCTTTGATTTGGGAATTATATAAACAGGTTTTGGGGCTTGGAGGGTGGAGGGATCATTTCCCACTCATTTTCACTTATATTTTTTAGTTGTTTTCATTATTTCTTGACTTCTTTTTCTGCTTTCTGTTCCTAAATTGGTGTAAGTGTAATATTGTGCAATACACAGCTTGAACAGTTTTGTGAGCAGTGAAATATACTTTTCAACTCATCCTGCCATGTTGTTTTTCAGTAAAACCTGCTACCCCAAGACGAGTGACACTGTCCAAGGTGAATGATGAGATATATGTGGAATGGAGTGGATCAGAGCCCTTTCCAGAAAACTGTTTGTTTTACGAAGTTGAATATCACAATGGTGACATGGACAACGCGCAGTTAATCAAAGTAATTTTTCAGTCCTTATGTAGGAAAGCAGTCAGTTAATTGTACCTTTTATAATTGGTGTCAGTAATCACAGTACCTGTTTAAATGCTGTGTGTGAATGGGGCTGGGTGCTGGCTGAGCTGTTGTGGGGATGGCAGATTTTTCTCCCCGTCTACTGCCCCATCCCTGGCAGTGCTCAAGGCCAGGTTGGACACAGGGGCTTGGAGCAAGCTGCTCCAGTGGAAGGGGTCCCTGCCCATGGCAGGGGTTGGAGCTGGAGGAGCTTTAAGGTCCCTTCCAACCCAAACCAGGCTGGGATAATATGAGTAATATCAACATTCCTCCGGAAACTGGCATTTTGGATCATAAATAACTGAAGTTCAATCCCATCTATTCACTAAACCTTTGCTATGGTCAAAGTTAGATCAAAGTTGCTGCCCTGCCAGGGAGGGGAAGGCAGTGTGAATTAGACATTTTCACACGCTGTTCCAGACACTGAGTCTTAGTTTAATCACTGATGCCAAATGCTGCAGTGAGTAAGTTTAAATCCTAGCTTTGGAATCTGTGCTTATGCAGCCTGTGATGGTTAAATGCTACTGTGTCCTTTTTTATGAAGTTCAGTATTCATAAAAAGATCTTCTGTCAGAACATTCAGAATACATTAGCTGCACAATGAAAACGGGCTGTGAATGACTGAGAATACATGGCAAATTACCTTTTCTTTTCACCTTAGGTTGAAAGTAATTATACCTCAATTCCTAGTGTTGATCCTAACAGCAAGTACATCTTCAAAGTGAGAGCAAAACCAAAGCCTGAGTGTTACAGCAGCAACCTCTATAGTGACTGGAGTGAAGAGGAGAGCATTGGTGAGAGCAGTTCCTGCAATTTGTTGCACTTTATTCTTCATCTGTAATGACTCTACTGTATCTGCTAAAGAAATGGGAGTCAGAGATCACCATCCTATGGATCTATTTAATTTTAGGTGAAAAGAGGGCAAGAGAGTTCTAGTCTTTCAGCGATGCCATCAGTTACTGCTTGTGCTGCTCTGTATGTCGATGGGGATCCATCAGTGCAGTGACCCCTTTCTCTGCTGTCACTCTTTCAGCCCTGGGTCTTGCTGGTTTGCTTTTTCTTGCCAAATGTATCTACATTAGAATGTGCTTTGCAAAACAAGACCTTGCCTACCAAACTGCTGGTGTATTTGACCACCATTCCACCTGTGAACAGCTTAGAGAATTATCTTGCTGTCATTATTCCTGAAAAACCCTCTCAAAGCATCCCTAAGTTTCTACAGTTTTTGTTTTCCAGGCGAGAAGATGGACTCTACATTCTCCTTTGCTTTGATAGTCACCATTCCGGTAATAGTAGCAGTCTCTACAATAATTCTACTGGTTTATCTGAAAAGGTAAGTAACCATCTCCATTCACAACCCACTAATTCTGCTGGTCTGTGCCTTGTGTTACAGTTCATCTCTCTTGCAGGTAACATGTTTCAATAGCAACTGTTTTATCCATAACATCTGCTGCACAACAAAACTGACTGCACCATCGTGCCTCAGTCAATAAAATTGGGTTTGCAGACCATACACACACTCTGATTGCACATGGGTGACGTTGCTTGTATCTGCTTGCAGATAGATTCTTATTGCACAGCTATTGTATTCAAAATTAAGCTTATCTGTATTTAACCAGAGTTCTCTAAAAAGTCCACATGTTGCTGTCTTGGTCAACAGTGAAGGTTATTTAGAATCTGTCTGTGTGAACAATTATGTTTCCTTTTGATTTAGGAAGTAAAACTAGGAATTGGGTTATACAGAGCATGAGGGCTGACCAGCGATGCCAAAGCTGACTCCACACATTTTCTTGTCTGCAGCCAAATATGATGTTGAAATGGTGATGTTTAATACATCTTCCATCTAAACCTGTCCTTTCTCGTTTTCTGAAGGCTGAAGATACTGATTCTTCCACCAGTTCCAGACCCTAGAGAAATTCTTAAGAGTATGTTTGGAGAGCAGAATGAGGATTCCCGGGTTAGTAAGAACCTGTGGGGCCAACTGATCTATTGAACCCAAATGTCTGTCTTAAAGCCAACTGTATATAAGTAAATATATTGTAAAAGGATTCAGGATTTACAATAGTAAGAGTTGTTCAGAAGCAGTTACCCAAAGCTGAGGGGCATTTTTTTCCCCTCAAATTGCATCTACTTCTCTAGCTACAGTAGCGGAATTGCATTATTCTGTTCTTTCAGAGCCTGCTCATCCCTTAGATGGGTTTGGGGTTGGTTTGGGGGTGGGTTTCTGGGGGAGGAGTTTTCTGTTTGGTTGGTTTATTATTTGGGGTTTTTGCAACTCCATTAAACTGCTTTTCATGAACATTCAGGCTTTTCTCTGCTAGATGCCCCTGTTTCTGTTGATGAATAAAGCAGTTACTTCTGTCAACCAGGCTGAAGCCATGTCCCTAATAAACATAACTTGTTGCCCATCTACCTTGGCTTTCCCACCATAATATAGGGCTACATGTTGTCTTGTCTTACTGGGCTTGTCTTACTGGGCTGAACAACCCATGCTGGCCATGGACTGCTGTTAAAACGCTGTTCTTCCCTTTCAGAGCTGTGCAAAGGATGATCCTGTGAATGCTTATGACCGGTTAATAAAGGAAGAGGAAATTCATTCTTTAATTTTAATAGGGCCTCCAGAGTGCACTAATTCTGAAACAGAAAACTGATAAACTGTGCTTTACCAGAGAAAGGTGAGGAAGCTCATTCCTGCTCCCGTACCGCAGGTGACAATGAAGATGTGAAGAGGCCTCCAAGACATTCACCAACTTTCACCTTGCTGAGTCCTCTCTGAGCCTTACTTTGGTGCTCAGAAGATACATCACTAACAGTGGCCATTCCTCCATCTCTGCTAGAAATACTCATCTCAGATCATTCACGATGAGCATGTACATATATTTCATGTGACTGCATTGCAGCATCTCTCCTGGCTCCAGCCAGCTCTGCCCTGTTGCTTGTCATTTGCACTGGTTTTGTGCCTCAGACTGGACTGTCAATGGGGTTTTTTGGAGCAAGAACTGTGACTTCTCAGAAGTATTTGGCTCTGTTCTGCAGTGGATGAGCTGGGGCGTGTTTCCAGTGGGTGGCTCCTTAGTGCTACTGTGGAACTGCTGCCAGGTGGGATGGACAGTTTGTGGACGGCCTGTTCCATGTGCACCAGGACACTTGCAGGAGGACATTTATGGACTGCCTTTCTTATGCTTCTGGTTGATGTGTGTCAGCAGTGGCCTGGCAACCCCCATTAGAGAGTTCTTTACCAATGTGTGTGAAAAGCCTCACCACTTTCCAGCTGACATTCAGACTATTCATGGAGAAGGCTGCTTTTTGTCAAGTGCCTCTCCTCAGATGTCTTCATGGACTCCTTGGCTTGATTATACTTTCTTTAATATGATGACTATAACCTTTCCACTTGTGCAGTGGCAGGTAACTGTATTGAGTCTCAGCAGACTCTGATTCTATCTTGGCCACATTGGCCTGAAAACACCTGATTTTTGGAAGCTAAGTTATCCTGAGTCTGTGCAGCATCATTCCCAGGATGGATGCATGAGTCTAAGGAGTGGTGGTCAGATGAGCAAGTGCCAAACCATAGAACTGAATTAATTCAAAGGCTTCAAGAGCCACCCTCACTGCTGAGCTGATGGATGTGGGTTAAGAGGGGATGACTGCCTTGGTCTGCTTTCTAAGAGATAAGCTTTATTCTTCCGTTAGTGATGGGGCTGGGATCCGAGCTTCCCCTCTAGGAGCTTAGCAATTGAAAACCAGGTGCTGATTTGACTTCCTATCAAACCAAATTTCTGCTGTGTTTTGCTGCAGCAGCTTGATGACTTTTATGATTAATTGATTTGATCCTTTTCTGATGGTTTTGGTTTGAGGTTGCTTTACCCAGCAAAGCTCAACACGTGTTCTCTGGCACAACAGTGACAGTTCTCTGCTATGCATTCTGAGCACTAGTTTTTACCCTGCAAGGGTGTTAACAGCAGTACCTTGATTGTGCTGGAGCAGAAAGTAATGTCATGGAGAGGAGGGGATCCATGGGGAGAAGGGGATCCATACAAGCTGCCTATGGTTAGTGTTCAGGAATGTCTTGTTCCTCCCAGCTAAGTGCAGACACGTTAGTCATTGATACAGTGGGTCTCAGCAGACTGGGAAGAGATGTGCTCAGGAGCCTGCCAGGAGCAAATTCCATAACCAGTGACCTTTCAAATTTCAGCCCTGTCCTCAAACTCCATTCAGGCAGAAATCTGGAGTGAAATGTTAGAGCTTCAGAACACTTTGCTCTCCGAGAAGTAGAACAGAGCTTGCTTTTTAGCTACACATTTCCATCCTTTACCGTCCTGCGTACTCCCTCCCTCTCAAGGCAATTCTCCAGTCCTCACTTCTCAGCTGTAGTTTCCTCTGCATCTCTTATCTACCTCTCGTTACTGGTGGTAGAAAGGGGAGAGGAAATGCAGCAGGACAAGCAGCCCCATGATAGCTTCAATCTTTTACCTACAACCAGGCTGAAAAATAAGAAGCCTATAAAACACTTGGTTCATGAGACAAATGAGAATAAAGCCTCAGGGATTTCAGTGAGCGAAAGCAAAACTCAGGTTGTACAGCGCCAGCCAGCAGCACTGGCTGATAATGCAAAGGTAAAGGAATAGCATGGGGGAAAGGGTAATTAAATCCCTGTGCCAACTTCATTCCCTCTCCCCCGCAACAGTTATGACAGCGATAGAAAGACTTCTCCAATCTACCTCATCTAGAATCTTGCTCATCATAGACCACTCACCAGAGAGGTATGATTTCAAGATAAGTACGCATAGCAGTGTAATATAAACTCCTGTGGCTTTCAGTATAGCAATCTAGGAAGATGAGCCTTGGTATTCACCCTCCATTCTGTTGACTTTTGTTCTGGGGCTTGTGGTAAAACCAAAGCTCACTTGTTTGAAAACCAAAAAGGAAACCCGAATTTATAAAGCTAGAGTGGAAAAACCAGATGGGAGGTGTTGAGCAAAAGGAGGCCATGAATGCAGAGGATGGTTTAGATCACTACAGTGAAATGGTTTGGGTAATTCACTTTCAAATAACAGGCACTGACACATTGCCTCGTGGATGGATTTCTTGAGCCTGTGTCTTGGCCTGTGAAGTGTCTGAGGGTATTTTCACCCTCAGTGTGTCTTGTTTCTGGTTAGGGGGGTTTATAGCTTGGCATCTTCCAAGTTTTACTGTCATTTGCTTGTTCTTCGTTACAGTTACCTGGTCTAGAAGCTTATTTAAAGGCTGAATAAAGATGTTTGGATGTTTTTCAATAGAATTGCATGGCATTCCATTCTGGGGCTGCAAAGATAAACTGGGATGGAAGACATGGCAGTGGCTTAATGAGAAACCACGTTTGAAGCTTGCAGAACCCAGGGAAGAAACACTTGAGTGTTGCTTTGCCCTCTTCCCTTTCAGAAGTGACCTAGAATCAGGGGGGTAATGCAGCAGGTCCTGGTTTCTTGGCTGGGGTAATGAAACAGAGACGGAGCTGTGCACAAGCGTTGTGTTTTTCCCCTTTGGGTACTCAATGCCATGGTACTTTGTGATAGGTCATAAGGCTGCAAGGAGTTAACATGCTCAGACTGGAATTTGGCTGAGGTTGCTGCAGCCTTCCCAAAGGTAGCTCCAATATTTTGTGTCTTCTGTTCGCTGCTGAAGTCCTTGAAGATGCCAGGTTGACAGAAGCCATTCCCTAGCTGCTTAGATCCAAAGGAACACGTTAGCAACAGCTTCTTTGAAAGCCTGCTTGGTTCCCTCACTGAACATCAGCAGATCACTCTGATAACTAAGGCATAAACTGATGTTAAAAAGCAAGCCTTTGAGGATTTATTTCCCCATTCTCCAGTTTTGGTGGCAATAATGACCCTCGATGATGTTAATGACTCCCCATGTGTGACGACCTTTTCCTATTTTAATACGTTATAGGAGTTTAAATGTTCCATATGAAACACTTTGGTGAGTTTTCATTTATTTCAGTGAAGGAATGCCAGGACATAGCTGGACAGCTTTAAAAGAGAAAGACTCAATAGATGAACACACCGAATTGTGAGCCCTGGTGTTTCAGTGCTTACTAGGAAGAACTATTTAGAGACTGGGTATTTCCATTCACTGGAAAGTGTTCAATAAGCTTAGTTCTGAGTCGGAACCTCAAATACTCAGAATTTCCCCTGAAAGGGAAATGTTGATTTATTTTTTTTTTCATTTAAAAAAAGCAGAAACTTTCAGTTTTGGAGGGTTTTCCCCTCACCCAAGCGAGAGCAGGAGGTACGTGAGTGGAAGCCCAGGTATGGTCAGGGCATTGCAGAAACCTCCATCCCTTCTTCTCCACCCCAGCATCACAGTGGGGATCTTCAGGTCCAGGATTGGGCATGGTGGGGTTGGGAGGAGCAGATGGTTCACTCAAATAGCTTTTACTCGATGTTTGCATGGTTAGTTTTATGGCAGCAAGCGCCATACGTTGCGTTGCCACAGCAGAAATGTGACTTCTAGATAACACTTGAAATCCAAACGCAAAATCAGATTAAGATCTACTTGGATGATTTCATTGTACCTGTGTTGAATCACAGTGAAAGCAGGAGACTTGAGATCACTTTGATGTAACTAAATCCACGCTCTCACCACAGCAAAGCGATACGGGTTTGAGTGGGAGGCACGGGACAGAGCCAAACTTTCTTTCAGGTCCGGAAACTCTGCCTCACATGGTTAGCATGTAGGAGCCTGACAGCTTGTTGATGACTTCTGGGGGGGGTTTGCTCTCTTTTCTCCATCTGTGTTGCTCAGGTTAACGAAATCCTTTCTCTTTTGCTTGTGAGCCTTGTGTTGTTTATCACTGAGGTATCCCTTCTACAGCAGTACTCTGGTTACTGCCCAGTGTGTTCAAGTAGGGCTCTCTGCTCCGTGTTTTGCCTTTTGCCCAAGTACTGCAATGATTTTGATAACTCTTACACAAAGCATCCGCAAAGAGATGCTTTCCAGTTCACCAGTACTGCCAATAATCAAACTTTTAGCTTATTACATTGAAGTTTTCCTCTATTTAATTTGGCTCAGACTGCTGAAATGGTCTTGGCAAAGAGCATGAGGAGGCTGAAAGCTCAGTGAGAATGGGGGTTTTGTTAAACTCGGGTACTGTCATTTTTTGGAACAAAATTTACTAAGCTGGAGCAGAGTTAGGAGCAGGTTGAATCAGGAGTTAAACTAATGTCTTGCTTTAAGAGTAGAGCTGGCCCTACATCTTCACTAGTAAAACCAAACCAGAGCAATCTGACTGAATGTGCTTTATGCTAGGAACAGATTGGGGTGTACCATGGGCAGCCTTTCCTGTTGATCTCATGGTAGATCGATCAGATCCCATGCTCTCAGCAATTGCCCTTGGAGCTCTTGGCACATACACAGTGTAATTCTGTGAAGTCTGAAACACCAGGGATGAGGCACTTTTAGGGCACTTCAGTCATTGCCACTTCTCCTTAACCTGTTTTCATGCAGCAAGTTGAAACAAGATCCTCTGGGGTTTTTGACAGTGGCAGTGAGAGCACTGAGATGAGCTTGGGTCTGTTTTGCCTTTCCTCCCCCTGCACTTCAAAGCCTCTCAGCCCCACTGGTTTCCTTCCTTCACACGAAATGGCAGTGTAGAAACTTCAAAAACGCCAGCTTGGTACCCTGAAAACTGCACAGGCCTTCAAATGTCAGTGTCAGCTATAGGGAAAGTCAGCCAGGGGATGGCTATCCAGCTGTAACTTCACATCCCATCATGTTCTAGGAGCCAGCCTTGACTCCATCTCCAGGTACATCAATTGACATTTCTCTACAGCTGATTTTCACAGCGCTTATATTGCACAAATAAGGCATTGTAACTTGTTTATTAGGAGGAATAAAAGGTAGAAGAGCTGGTAAGACACCAGTCAGAGAGAAAGGCTTCTGCCGGTCTCTCATAGAGCTGCGTGTGTTGCTGCACCATCCCCAAACCAGCAGAACAATGTGCCTCTTTGCCCAGGTTCACCCAGATCAAGCAGCTTCTCCTTCTCCTGTGTTGCTGCTCCTCAGTTTGTGGCTTTCTACGAGTCCAGAGCTTCTTAGCAATGCTGCTGCCCTGTGAGATGCTCCTCACTGCAAATCCAGTTCCACCTGCCCAAAAGGAATGCTCTGTACAGCTTCACTGGATTGCATTTGTGTCACTTGTGTTGCTGTGCCATTAGGAAAACTGCTGCAATGTTTCAATAACCTCACTGTGTCCTGAGCACATTTCCCAAGCATCCCTCCTTCGCTATGGTCTAGGAGTGCCTTCTTTCACACGGTCAAGTTTAGAGCACTGAGCATAGCTGTGAACCCAGCCGATGCCTGCAGAACAGCAGCACTCGCTGGCCTGGGCAAGCAAATGCTTTGTAAGAGCTCCTTTCCTTCCCAGCTCGCAGCGTATCCCCCTCGGTGATCAACTGTTGTGTTTCCTCAAGCTGATTAGAAGGATGTTGCCTCATGAGTTAGGCTTATCAAAAAGGGAAACTGCATTGCTTTAGCACAAACTGTTCTGGGTGGCTGGTAAACAGCACAAAGAAAGGAGAAAGGAATTGCTCACTCTTATCCCTAGAGTAATTCTGGAAGAAAGCTGGACAAACGGACCAATAATGTCTTCCTTTTGGAGCAGGAATATCATGTGTAGCCTTCAGGTTTGAAAGACTTCTCCTGTTTTCTACAGGCCTTAAAGAAAAGTGCCTGTGTTTCAGGTTGCACCAGTGTTCAGTGCGTTACGTGCTGCAGGATTACTAAGGCCCTGCCTACCCGAAGACATCTGCTTTATCTGATGCTCTCCAGCCTGTTTGTCTGGGTCTCTGTTTATTTGCTTGTCAAAGTCCATTTGTTCTGGTTATAGAGGACCCTTTCTGTAAGGACTGAACCAAAAGGAAAATTGCCCGCACTGAGCTTCACTGCAGCTCATTCTGACCTTCCCCATCTTGTCCTGAGCCCACTCTTCATCTTCCTCTAGCTTTAAGATACCCAAAGGCTCTTTTCTTGTCTGTTTTATCCCCTGTTACTCAGGACTCGGTTTAGCCTGCTGCTTTGATGCCCTCATTCATGCTGCAAGCCATGGTTCAGAGCCTCATCCCCGGTGGGGTGAGGGCTGGAGGGCAGAGGAAGGGCATCAGTGTTCACCATGAGAGTGACCACAAACTACAGCACTCACAGAGCAGGCTTGGCTGTGGAGTGCCTGCCGAGCCAGGCTTTCCCTTTGCTGTGTCCTCATTTCCCTACCAAATATGGTGCAAGTGCCTGGTGGGAGCACGGGGAGGCAGAGCCCTGCCAGCCCCTTCCAATGCGCAAAAGGGCTTTCCCTGCTCGCAGGGCTC